CGCTGGCGCTGCTGGCGCTGGCATCGGGGCCGCCCGCGGGCACGCCGCCCCCTGGCGACATCGGGGCCGCGGGCGCGCCGCCCCCTGGCGCGGCTGCTGCGCTGCCCCAGATGTCCCCCGAGCCCAGCTGGCCGAACGGCTGCGGCTCGGCGGCCGCGGAAACGTCCTCCGCGCCCGAGTCGTCGGCCCCCTGCGGGACTTCGTCGTCCTCCAGGAGCTGTGCCAGCCAGTTCTGCTCCCACATCACGTCCTGCTCGTAATCGGTCCCGAACTGGCGGTTGCCCTCTTTCCACAAGCCAATGCGGCGCCTGCCGTCCACGGTGATGAAGGTCGACTCGTCCAACACCAAGCACGGAACGGGCTCAGTGCCCTCGGAGGCGAGGCGGTGGATCACGTAGACCTTGCCGTCGGTGTGCGTGAAGTTGAGGGTCACGCGCGAGCGCTTCAGACACGCCATGAGGTTGGCTAGAGTCGCCCCTGGGGGGAAGGTTGCCGGCACGGCGTCCAGGGAGTCCTTGTGAGAGATCGTCGGGAAGCTGCCGCTGGTGGGGCGGAGCGTGGCTGGGTTGAACGTGTTGTCCATGATCAAGCGAGGCTGTCCCTGCGCGCATTTTGTGGCCCCCCAGCGGGCCCAGATCATTGACTCATCATCCCCGACGTCCGTGAATGACTTGATCGCCCGAACGCGCTGCTCGTTCAGCGCCCCGTCGTCGTGCGCCCAGGCGCAGCTCTTCTCCCCTGGCTGGCCGCGCAAGAAGTCGAACTCCGTCGTGCTCCTCAGCATGGCCGCGCGCTCGCCGCCGATCTTGCGCGCCCACCGCCTGGCGAGGGCCAGGGCGACTGCGCGACCCACGAACGTCTTGCCGATACCAGGCTCGCCAATCATCATGAGAGCATGCTTGCCCATCGTCTTGACCATGGGTTTGAGGGCGCCGACCAGGAAGGAGCGCTTGATGTTGCGCAGCGTGACGGGGCACACAAGGTGCTCTTGGCACAGCGCCGCCTCGTTTGCGATGCCCCTCGTGATCTCTTTCACAAGCGACTCCTTCCATCCGAAAATGGTGCTGTTCTCGTTGTTCAGCTCTTTGGTGATCCACCGAGGGTGACCCTTATTCTGGATCAGACGGGCATGCTCCTCGATGTAGTCGAACCCCTGGTCGACTTTCGACTCGTCCATGAGCTCTTTTTGCTTGTTGAGGTCGCGGTGGTCGAATGTGAAATACATGATCTTCAAGCCCGGGAGGTGCGCGAGCAGGTGTTGCAGCGCCTTCGTCCCTGACTTCTCGTGGATGCCCCGCGCGACCTTATGCGCCTGACCAACGCGCGTGCTCGGGAGGCTGTGAACGTTGATCTTGTTCTTCATGATGCAGTGCTTGATGATGTACTTCCCGCCGTCGCCCCTCGGCACCGCGAACAGCTGCATGGTGTAATCGCTCGGGGGCTCCTCCTTCAAGCGGAAAGGCATGGGCAGGTCCTTGAACGTCTTGCGACGGAAGTGCTCCAATATAGCGTCTCTGTCGATGTCCCCGCGGTGATCGGACACGATGTCCACGAAGTGCGCGACCTTCTTCATTGGGCCGTCCGCCCCGGTGTCAACAGGTGTAAACGGGAGGTCCTCGGCAGGGTTCGTGGTGCCCGTCTCGTCATCTGAATGGGTGGGGAAAGTCAGCCTGTGCATGGTGAGGTTCTTGACGACCGTTGCCGCCGCCATCGTCGCACCGACGCGCGGCGCCGCAGGGGGGGAAGGCGGGCGCGCGCGGGGGCGCAGCGAGCCAGGCGGTGCCAGGGCGGCTCGTCCCCTGAGCCACAACTCAGGCAAACCGCAGAAGGTGAGAACGTTGCGTTGTTACCACAAGTATGGTTAATACATGTTGTCGTGGGGTCTCCTCTGGGACTCTGGCTATCGAGATGATGCGGTATGATTGTTCCCCATGCACATTTCTGGCTGGGTTTGTTTTGGGTTAATTTATGGGTGTCCTCCAGAACCCTCTCGTGGGCCTCTTGTGTGTCCTCTCCGAAGTCACCCCCCCTGGGCCCTTCCTGGGGGTGCTCGTGGGGTGCTGTGCGTTTCTCCTACTACCTCCACTATCGCGTAATGCTGAGAACCAAGCCTGCTACAGACAACTGCATGATGCATTTTTCGTCCTCTCGGGTTCCGAAAGCTGTTTCCGCTGCTTCTAGCCAGAGTCAGAGGAGGAGGAGGAGGAGGAAGAGCTCCTACCCATGACCACCGACTCAGACGAAGACGAACCCGCAGAAGCGGAAGAAGACGAGGAGGGCTTCTTCATGATCTTGCCCTGCCCCTTCGCCTTGGCCTTCGCCTTGGCCCTGAGTCTGCTCCTCCGCTGGCTCTCCTTGTTCCTCCTCAGCTTCTCCTCCTTGGACATCGGCGCCCGCGTCGAGATTTGGGGGGGCGGCGCCTGCTTGCCGCGCAGGCGCCGCCCCGCCCCTGGACTCTTCCAGCCGCTGTTGCTCATCCTCTGCTCGACGGTGCGGCTGCTCATCGTGCTCTCCTCCATCGCAAGCATGCGGGGCATCTTCTGCTCTACGGTACGGCTGCTCTACCTCGAAGCTTGAGCCTGGAAACAGCTACGGACAGGATGATGATGATGCTGATGATGACGAGTATTGTTATCAAGGCGCTGTCGGCGGCGATGGTGGTAACAACCATGTGTTTCAAGACATTGCCGATGACGATGCTGATGACATGTATTCGCTTCAAGATGCTGTCGATGACAATGCTGATGACATGCATCAGTCTCAAGATGCTGTCGATGACGATGCTGATGACGAGCATGGCTTTCAAGAGAGTGCCGATGACGATGATGATGACAACTATGATTTCCAAGATGTTGTCGTTGACGATGCTGATGACGTGCATCAGTCTCAAGATGCTGTCGATTACGATGCTGATGACGAGCATGGTTTTCAAGAGAGTGCCGATGACGATGATGATGACAACTATGATTTTCAAGATGCTGTCGATGACGATGCTGATGACGTGCATCAGTCTCAAGATGCTGTCGATGACGATGCTGATGACGAGCATGGCTTTCAAGAGAGTGCCGATGACGATGATGATGACAACTATGATTTTCAAGTTACTGCCGATGACGATGCTGATGACGTGCATCAGTCTCAAGATGCTGTCGATGGCGATGCTGATGACGAGCATGGCGTTCAAGAGAGTGCCGATGACGATTATGATGACAACTATGATTTTCCAGATGCTGTCGATGACGATGCTGATGACGTGCATCAGCCTCAAGATGCTGTCGATGACCATGCTGATGATGAGGAGCATGGCTTTCAAGAGAGTGCCGATGACGATGGTGATGACAACTATGTTTTTCAAGATGCTGTCGATGACGATGGTCAAAATTGAGTGGGAAACCTCTTGAGGAGCTGCTGCGCCTCGGCGAGACGGTTCCGGAGGCCCGACCTAAGACCCGAAAGTGATGCGATGGTGGACGACAAGGCGGAGGAGGAGGAGGGGGGGGCGATGAGGACCAAGGGAAAAGAGTAATCTGAGGAGAGGAATTCGGAGAACGAGGAGGAGGAGGAGGAGGAGGAGGAGGAGGAGGAGGAGGAGGAGGATGAGGAGGAGGAGCTGGAGGGGGAAGAGGAGGAGGAGGAGGAGGAGGAGGAGGAGGAGGAGGAGGAGGAGGAGGGCGAGGAGCAGGGAGATGAGGAGGCGCACGAGGTGTCGCCGACGCCCACGGTACTGCCTCCTCGCTCAGGAGCTGGGCCCTCGGCCTCGGGGAAAGGTCCCGAAACTTGAAAACCTCATAAGCGCGAGGTGCCGTTATGCCCCCCAACCCGCCTCCCCCCACCCCACTCCATACACGGCTCCCTCATGGCTCCCTCACGGCTCCCTCATGGCTCCCCCCATGGCTCCCTCATGGCTCCCTCAGGCTCCCGCCTGAGAGGTCCCCCAAAACGCACTCAAAACGAGGCTCCCGCCTGAGAGGTCCCCACAAACACACCCAAAAGGAAGCTCCCGCCTGAGAGGTCCCAACAAAAAACACTCAAAACGAGGCTCCCGCCTGAGAGGTCCCAAAAAAACCAAAAGAAATCCAAGAGCCACCCCTCTCATCCCTGTAACTGTCCAAAAAAACACCAAAAAACCAAAGTTTCAGAGGAGAACTCCACCGAAGGGGGGCAGGTAAGACGAGGAGGAAGTGGGGGGGGGGAGGAGGTCTCCTCTGAAACTTTTTTTTTTTTTTTTTGTTTTTTTTTGGGGGGGGTTTTTTGGGACAGTTACAGGGATGGGAGGGGTGGCTCTTGGATTTCTTTGGGTTTTTTTGGGACCTCTCAGGCGGGAGCCTCGTTTTGAGTGTTTTTTTTGGACCTCTCAGGCGGGAGCTTCCTTTTGGGTGTGTTTGTGGGGACCTCTCAGGCGGGAGCCTCGTTTTGAACGCCTGGCAAGGTTTTGCTTGAGTCTGTCCCGTAAGGGGATCCTGATTGGGAGGAGGAGGAGGAGGAGGAGGAGGAGGAGGAGGAGGAGGTGTTCTGCTCCTCTGCTTCTGTGCTCTGGAGTTGGCCTCTCAGGCGGGAGCAACATAACACAACACAACAGCAAACCACAACACAACATCATACAAGAGAAGAGTACGCATACAATCACAACATAACATTATACAACTCGCACTTTCGGCACGCCCCCCGTTAGGCCTGTATACCCATATGTATATATGTTTCGCGTTTGCGTGCGTATGTATGCAATCTGCATCGCTGTGCCGTGCATGTATACCTGGTCTATGGAACCTGCATTTAATTTGTGACAGGTGGCAGTGCCATATCTTCACATGTAGATGCAGCTATGTATAGTCCGCTTCCTTGTATATCGACAGGGAACCCACACGTTTCCACCGTGCCTCGTCGGGCCCAGGGGCATCGGCCCCCGAGGCGGTGCACGTGCCTAGGCTCTGCCCCCCCCTAGACGCCCTGCCCCAGTGGCGGCGGATCTGCCGCGGCCAGCCCCCCGCGGCGGCGGCGAGGCCTCGCCGTCGCACGGCAGCGCTGCGCGCTGGAGCAGCAGGCCGCGCGCGGCGGCCGCCAGCGCGGCGCCTTCTGCCTGAGGGGCAGAAGGCCTCCCAAATGGGGTCGAAGTGGATGGGGCTGCCCAAATGGGGCCTCCGAAATGGGGCCTCCCCAATGGGGGCACGATCCTCCGACGCCATCCACTTTGACCCCATCTGGGAGGCCTTAATAGAAGAAGAGAAAAAAATAAACAAAAAACTGTTGGCGCTCCGCGCGAGTTTCTCGGATCCGCGCTGGGCCCCCCCCCCCAGCGGCTCCTCTGGCGCCGCCCCTGGCGCCGCCCCTGGCGCGCTCCGCGCGGATCTAAGAAATCTGCGCGGAGCGCCAAAAGTTCATGTTTATGCAATTTGTGTTGTTCTTCTATGAAGGCCTCCCAAATGGGGTCGAAGTGGATGGGGCCAGAGGATCGTGCCGCCTCGCCGATGCACCGGCGGTGCGGCTCGATGTGGACCCCGTTTTTCACCGTGCCGACGGCGTCGATGCATCGGCGACGCGGTGCGTTGCGTTCCACCGGCCCTTTCTACTCGGACCCCATCTGGGAGGCCTCTACGCCTCTACTGAACAATCACGACGGCGGATTCTCGACCTCTAGAGGCCCTCGCTGGGCCCTGGGACCGTCAGAAAACGGCTCAGGGTGAAAAGCTGGTCCCTGGGACTGGGTCGAGACTTCAACAAATCAAGGCATCGGATCTCTGGGGAGGGGTCTCTGTCGGGCAAGGCTAGGACCGGGATTTCCGAGGAGGCCCCCAGGGCCTCCAGGGCACCCATCACGAGGCCCTTGAGGGCCCCATACGGGATTCAGAATGGAGCGAAAAGATGGGCCCCCCCTGCAGCCTCCAGAGCACCCCTGACGAGGCCCTTGCGGGTCCCATAGGAGCCGAATAGAGCAAAGAGCTGGGAGCACCTGTCAGACAGGCCGAAGACCCGCATGAGTCGCTGCAGAGCGTTCTGGAGCATTCTCGGAGCGTCCCGGGGCGCTCCCTTGAACGGCCGCGGCGCCCGATGGTTCCTCCAGCACCGCTGGCTCCCAGAGCCCCCCCGACCTCTCCTGGTCCGCTTCTGTCCCCGTCTTGGCTTCGTCTCGACATGCTCGGTCTCAGGAGAAGGCGGGTCGGCGGCGCGCCCGGGACGGTCGGCGGAGGTCAGACGGGGCGGGCCTTCCAGAGGGCTTCTGGAGCTTCCCGGCCCGCGGGCTCGCCTCGAGCCTTCCCTGCGGGCAGGGCCTGTGTCCAGGACCACTGCAGCGCGGAGTTGCGGGCTCCCTTCCCCAGGAAATCCGAGGCTCACCGAGCGCGTTCCACTACTCGCAGAATGCCTACTCGCAAGCGTCTGAAGCAGACATGTCGTCCCCTGTGTAACGGATCGTATATCCCACGCGGCGGATCCAGGCCATTGGCGAGAATTTACTCTGCGCGTAGCGGAGCGCGCTTGTTTGTTTACTGTCGGCGCCTCCAGCGCCGCCCCTGGCGCGCTCCGCGCGCCAGGGAGGGGGTTCAGCTCAGATCCAAGAAATCCGCGCGGACCGTCAAAAGTTTATGTTTGTATGCTGTTTTGTGTTCCTCGATTTGCCCCCCGCGCTCCACGGGTCATCCCTGGTGTCAGAAGTGAAGGCAATTCTGCCCGCCCGCATTGGTCCAATCTTTCCCCGTCTCTTTGGCCTGGTTTCCCTCCAGCCCTATCACTCTCCTTCGAGGAAGGGAAAGCAGGGCATAAACGTGATCTTTCGAAGGACATCGCGGATTTCTTGGATCTACGCTGGACAACCCGTTTCCAGCGTGCGGAGCATGCCAGAGGCGGCGCCAGAGGCGCCGCCAGGGGGTTCCAGCGCAGATCCAAGAAATCTGCGCGGACCTTCGATCATTTCAGCTTATGCAGTTTTTGTTATTATCTTGCTCACGCCCCCCATCGCTCCCTCCCTTCTCCTCCCCCTCTCCCCCCCTAATCACCCTCTCCCACGCCCTGACGCTCCGAGCCTCGCTCACCCCCTCTCTTGACTCTTCCCCTCCCCCTGCTCCCTCCCACCCCGCATCCCCCTTCACAGTTGCACGATGTTTGCCACCATGTACCCCCACAAGTGAGCTTGTGCACGTCAGGATGTGCAAGTTGTGCGGCGGAAGCTATGTGGTGTGACCTATGTGGTGCAAGCTGTGTGGTGGAAGCTAGGTGATGCGCACCGTACCCATCCCCATCTCAGGGGGGGGGATTTCCCAGCGGAGCCAAGGTTTCCCCGGTGGGCGTGGGGATGTTGCTTCTCGTGCAGACAGGAGACATGTCCAGATCCGCAGCCCGACAGCGCTCGATCTGCTCGAGAGCCTCCAAGTGCGAGCGCCGCCTCGGGAATCCGGGGGCTCTTCTCCCACTCTCCCCTGGCGCGCCGCCTGGCGGTTCTCCGCCTGTCCCGCGTGTGGCTTTGCAGCGCACGCAGAGAGTTCCGGACACGGTTTTCACGGGCCGCAGCGTTCTCTCGGCCCTCCAAGAGCGGTGCCGCCGCTGCAGCGCTGGCCACCACTCGGGATCGGCGCTCTGCTCTCCGTGCCGAGGAGAGCGCTCTCGCGCCCCAGCGCGGAGCACAGTCCCGGATCCGATTCCTCACCTGTCGTTGCCGTCCCCGTCGTTTCCCCTCCTCCCTCCTCCCCCTGGTCCTCCCCATCCTCCTGCTCCCCCTACTCCTGTGTCTGCTGCTGTTGTTCCTCCCACCTCATCCTCATCTTCTTCCTCCTGCTCATCTTCCTGCTTCTCCGCCACCCCCTCCTTCTCCGCCTCCTCCTCCAACACACGAGGCCCCTTCTCTCTGACTGCGCCTTCTGCGGACTGAGGCCTCTTAGGACACCCCTGTCGGCGGATAGAAGCAACATCAGCGGAATGGGAAGGGATGGGTGGGAGGTGTAGGATGCCAGATGCGGCCCAGGCTCGCCCAACTTCCCCTCGCCTCCTGTTTCCTGCCTCATCCTTCCTGCGTCCCTGCTCCCTCCTCTTGCTGGTGAGCGAGGGGGGGAAATTGAGAAGGAGAAGGCCTCCTCGGAGTGCGGCGGGACCTCTCGGAAGCCCTCGCGCCTTCTGCGACGTGCTCTGCGCCCTCGGGGAAGACGCTGGAAACTTCTCGGAAGGCCGGGGGACTTCCGAGCCTTCTGAGAAGGCCCGCCCCTTCTCACTTCCCCCCTGGGCTCGCCGCCGACCCTTCCTCCTGCCTCCCTCCCTCCCTTCTCCTTGCTCTATTATCCTCCCTCCTGCCTCCTCCCTCGCCCAGCGTGTCTCCTCGCAATTCCCTGCCTCCCCGCGCATCCCTTGGAACATCTCTATACGACCACCCTTCGGGTGATAGGGAGGTCGAGGGGGAGGGGAAAGAACCAACTGCTGGCAACTTCGATGGGTGTGATGATGACGATGCTGGTGGCGCGCCCTCACACCCGATCTCACTATCGATCGCACGATCGATCCCACTCAACGAATCTCGCCATCGATCCCACAGTCGATCTCACAAACGATTTCACCAACGATCTTACGATCGAGATCTTACTATCGGTCTCACTATCGGTCTCTGAAGCGATCTAAATCGATCTCACAGTTGAGATCACACTCGATCCCACTATCAACCTCCCTATCGATTGCACTATCGTTGCATGTATCGATCTCAGTAACTATCTCATTCCCGCTCGCATGATCGATACAACTACCGATTTCACTATCGATCCGACTATCGATCTCACTACTGATCTCACCAATTTTCGCTCGTTGTCGATCTCACTATCACTGTCACTATCGATGGGGACATCATCGGGGCACCACGGCGGGACACCGCGGGATACCACTGGACACCACGGGACACCGCGGGACACCACTGGGACGCCGCGGATCAACGCGGGACATCACGGGACACCACGGGACACCATGAGACACCATCGGGACACCACGGCGGGACACCGCGAGACACCATCGGGACACCGAGAGACACCACGGCGGGACACCCCCAGCCACCGTGCGCTCACCAGATGGCCAGACTTTTGCATCCGAATCGCCCTGGGGACGGCGGAATCATTCCTCGCGCCCCCACAGCGAGACACCGCGGGACACCATCGGGAAACCGCGAGACACCACGACGGGACACCCCCGGCCACCGCGCGCCCACCAGAGGGCCGCACTTTTGTGTCGCGACGGCGTGATAATTCCTCTCGCGCGCCCACCCAGCTTCGCCTCGCCCGCACGCACGACACGAACACGAAACCGAATCCGATTTCCCTGTGGGGAGCTCTCCGTTCCACTGCGATCTCACCCCCCAACCTCCGATTTTCCTCATGTCTCTTCGGAGCCCTGGCGTTCCCCCCTCCCCAGGGCTCCTTTGGACTCCTTCGATTCGATCCGATTTCCATGGATCTCGATTCCGATTCGACTCGACTTCGGATTCCGATCTGGATTCCAATTTCCTGATTGAGGCCTTGTCTGCATGCCGATTTCCGCCGGTTCGACTTCTCCCGACTTGGCTGCCGATTTTCGCGGATCCGATTCCATTTCGACGGCCGATTCGATTTGCCGATTCGATTATGGGCTCTCCTGCCTTCCCTCTGCAACCCTCTTCCTCGTCAGGAGCAGGACGACTATGATGAGGATGAGGACGATGGCAAGGGGGTTTGGTCAGCGGAGGAGGAGGTGGAGGGAGGAGGAGGAGGAGGAGGGAAGAAATAGGAGGGAAGGATAAGAGAGGAAGGAAGACCGAGGGCGACGAGCGAAAGAGAGGAACCAGGAGGGACGACGGAGGATGGAGAGAAAACGATAGGGAGAGAAGAAGGAGGGATGAATGGAAATGGAAGAGGAGGAGAAGGACGAGCTAGTTGCGCTAGCGTCATATCTGACGTCCTACCCCTCCCTCCCATCCCTTACCATGGCGTAGATCTCCTATCGATTCGCTCAGTCGGATGACGAGCAGGGCACTGATCTCAAGAGGGTACGCGATGGATGGAAACACACGGCGTAGAAGCGCATGGCAGAGCATAGCATGTCATA